TCACAGCGCCAGGGAGCTGCCCCCCTCCCTACCCCTCACCCCCCGAATGAGCCATGGCTCCGTCCTGCACCCCACCCCACGCCATCCTGGCTGTGCAGCATCTGCCTCTGCCTCAGCCACACTCCCTCCCTCATGGCAGTGGCCTCAAGCGTCCCTACCATACCCCTCCCCCAACAGACTTACTACCTGGATGCTGCTCTCCAACTTGTCAGGCTGAACTCCTGGCCATGTGCATGCTGCAGCTGTGCACATGCAGGTAGCATTTATTGGCAATGTTTTTGGCCACATCAGCCAAAAGAAGCTGACCGCCAATAACGTAAATTTTCCTTTTATCAGTGCCAATATGATATGGACCGATATACTGGTGCAACTCTACACAGACCATTTATATATCGAACTACTTCCCTATCTTGCTCTTCTGCATCCATATTTCACCACTGTAAACACTCCAGAAAACAAATGCTTCTCCCAGTATCAAATGGACATCAAATTAGGATAAGCAGGAATCCTGGTTTTCTCTATTAAAAATCCAAAATTCTCTAGTAAATTAAAGCCAGAATTGTTTGATTAAAAACTCTCAAATCTGTGTTTTTCCCCCCCATGATTAAAATGAAATGTCACTATAACCGCAAACATAGGTATCAGTTGAGCACACTGGGCATCTAATCTATAACGTGCTCTGGGGTGGGGAGGGGCACTTTAATTAGAATGGCTCTTGGGAGTTGCTGTAATTAAAATGCCTGCAGCATCTTATGCATTCAGCATCCTGTACTTCAAAATAGCAGCAGGGATGCTTTAACTAAAGCTCAAATGAGCTTTACTTAAAGTACCCCCACCACCATTTTAAAATACAAGGATGATGAATATATGTGGAGGCTGCTGGAACGTTCCAATTAGTTTATTAATTCGATTAATTGAATCTGCTCTGGCACATTACAATTACAACACATTGGAGCAGGTGTCCCACACATGTACAGGCACCCAGTGTTTTATTGATATATTTACAATTTTAAAGCAATCTGGAATCCTACTAGTGCCTCAATCATTATAATAAAATACATTCTAAATGCCTAAATGTTTTGGCATTTGATTTTTTTTTTTTTTTTTTATCATAGAAAAATCAGAGCTCCCCCTGCCCCCTTCACTCACCAGGACATGGATCCAGCTGTGGCTGTCCACCCTGCTGCTTTGTGGCATTGAGAAGCCTTGATATGCTGATGCCCCTCACTCCCAAGCCACAGCCCTCCTCAGTCCTATCACTGCCCCTCACTCCCACAACCCCCCATCCCCACCAGCACCCCTCACTCCAAACCCATAGCCCCCATCCCACCAGTGCCTCCCACTCCGAAACCAACCCCCTACCCCTGCTGGTGCCTTTCACTCCCAACTTGCTGCCCCCTGCCCCCAGTATATGTAGAGCTAGGGTAGGGAGGCCAGGGGGAGTGCCTGACCATAGGCGACACACTGTGGGGGCATGTGCCCTCCCAGGTTTGCTGCAGCCTGGCTGGACCTGCACCAGGCAGGAGTTTCTTCCACAGTCCAGCAGGAGGAACCCAGTGCGGAAGGGTGGAGCAGGGTGGTGAGACTCATTGCTGCTGCCATTACAATCCCCACCATAGGTGCACCACCATGGTGAGGCTGTAGTGGAGGGGGGGCACAAGCCTGCCCCACAGCAGCAGCAGGCAGGAGGCACCTCACCTTGGCAGCACCTAGCAAAGCTGGTGCGGGGCTTAGTGGCAGCAGCAATGAGTCTCCCTGCCCAATTCTGTCCTCCCATCCAAGTGTACCATGGAGGCAGCTCCTGCCTGGTGCAGGTCTAGCCAGGCTGCAGCCCTGTGCCCTGCTGTGGACGCAGAAATCTGGGGGGCACATCCCCCCCATACCCCCCCAACATATGACTCTGGTGCTCAAGCTCTTCCCATGAGGGTATGCAGCAGCAGGGAGCTCCCTGCCACCCCCCTACCCCCCTCCAACAAGCTCCCCATGGCTCCATGCTGATCTCCAGCCTGGCTCCATGGCCATTCATTCCCATCCCTAGCCCCAGGCCCTGTGCACCACCCTGGCTGCACAGCACCCGCATCCCGAGCTGCCAACCCTGCCACATTCCCTCCCTCACCGTGGGGGCTCAGTATGAGCCCCTGCCTCAATCTCCCCACAGGTTGTGCCTTTCCCAACGCTGCCATGTGTAACATATGCCACTCCCCACACTAGACATACCCGCAGGCAGCTGCGGGAGGTGCTCTCCACCACCCTGTCTGGAGCTGTATTGCCAGCCACATGCATGTGTGCATACGCACACATGCACATTGTGTTCCCTGCTTGTGATCGCCCTCCTCAGCCCTAAGCAGCCCCTTGCAAGCTGGAACTCTGCCAGCCTGCAAGGGTAAACCCACAGTTTCCCACATTTTTCTCCTTTAAAGGAGAAAATCCATGTTTTTCCACGGCAAATGGAAAACCCAGACCCCTGATGATAAGATATCAAACCAAAATTCTGTTAACTTATTTAGAATTTTTCCTTCTCCAATGAATATACTCACTTTTAAATTTGTGATTGTCGTTTTATTTTTTTCCATTGAAATAATAAATTTAGCATCCAGGTCTTTTTCCCTGAAAAGAGCAAAAACATGGTTTCAGTATACTAAAGAAAAATTCATACTGCTATCAAAATTATCAAAGGTTCTGCCTTTGTAAGAAACTTGTTATGGCTGCTGAACATTCAAAATAACCAGTTTCTTCTATCATTGTAGCCAGTTGTTTATATTTGATTTTTTTTTCCCCTTTACCAGGTCTTGCTTTCAAAAAGGACTAAGGGGGAAAAAAGTCTTAGAAATTTGACCAAGATGTTTACTTTAAATAGCTTGTTTTCAATGGTAAATCTGATCCAGGACACTCAAACAAGGATTTCAGCTTTCGAGTGAAAACACATGCACACCTCTCTCTCCTGGTTCTCTCTCTTCTGGTTCTTGGTATCAAGAACCAGAAATGTGTTACCTTCACAAATACCCAACACTGCAGCAGAGTTGGAGTGCTGTTATAGTCATGATGGTCCAGGGAGTACATGAGAGGCAAGAAATCTTTGTGGTATCTTTCACTGTACCAGCTGTAGAGTTGGGAGATTATCTGAACAAGCTGTTGGCATTTAGCGGTGGCCTTCCTCAGGTCAGAAGCCTGAGATCTGAGGAAGGGCATCTGATATCCGAAATTTTATCCAATAGCTCTTCCAACTATACAGTTTGTTCAATAAAAGTTATCATACAAAGAATCCTTGCCTCTTGCTTTAAAAATAGCATAGCTTTGAGGTTCCTCATTTTCAAATGCTTGTGATGGCAGTCCTGAAAACACTGACTACAGAAAACATGTTCCTTTCCTTTACCATCTCACTGCTACATTTACTGCAGCTGTTCCCCAAAAACTGTTCAATTTTGGAGCAGCAGGAGAAGGCAAAAAGCAGATCCATGCATAAAGACGACAGAAATGGCCTGGGACATATAAAAGGTTCGCGTTCCTGTATGCCGCAGTCGGCAACCCTAGGCATGTATGCCACAGCATGTCATGTGAAAGCATTTTGTTTGGCACAGGACAGATGGCAGGGAAGGGGCCAGGGCTGCACTCTCTCAACAAAGATCCGGTCCCTGGCAGCTCCCCCACTATCCACCTAGTTGTGCACATGCACCCACTGCCAGGAACAAGCCAGGCTGGGGCTCCACAGACCCTGGTTCAGCTGCTTGCAGCTTCCCCGCTGCCTGCCACGAGCAGCCTGGGCTCTATGGTGGGTGGCAGGGGCCTGCCCAGAGCCTGAGCCGGCTGTGGCAGTCAGCCAGGAAGCTGCAAGCAGCTACACCAGGGTCCACAGAGCCCTGGCCCAACTTGTTGCTGGCAGTAGGTGTGCACACACCTGGAGTGGATGGTGGGGGAATGGCAAGGGGCCAAATCCTTGTTGTGGCAGTGCAGCCCAGGCCCCTTCCCTGCCATCCGCCTTGAGGAGAGTGTGCACTATACCCTGTGTGTCTCAGGGCAGACAGTGGGGAAGGGACCCATGCTATACTGCCACAAGGATCGAGCCCCTCGCAGCTCCCCTGCCATCTGCCCCAGCACACCAACATCTTCCAAGTAGAGGTTGGTTGTGGGTGTTTTTGGTATTCTGCCCAAAAACATTGCTGACCCTTGCTGTATGCCCTTCCATAAATGCCTGAGGACAACATTGCAGAATCAAACCTATCAACTACCCATAATTAGTTTATTAGAATTACAATATTAAATTTTCTTCGCCTACAGCTCTCTAATGCAGTGATGAACCAAGGGTTCTAACCCAAAACAGGATCAGCGCACTCAAAAGTTCCATAGAAATGAGACTTGCATGAAAAGTAGGGTCACAAGCCCGAAAGTAGGATTTCTGCACTGAAAAACAGGAAAATACTAGTCTAGTGGCCAAAGATTTGGAAGATTACTTGGGAAAATGTTTCCCAGGAACAACTGTCAAGTGTTGGCAACCACATCATATCAGCCATTCCTGTTTGTCTTGAAGTATCAGCAAAGAGCCAATTCAGTGCCTGGGAACAGCATGTACAAACCTGTTCCAGAGATTTAATATTATTATACCCAACTATAAAATATAAGTAATGCATATGGATATTTGTAACTTTATTCATTTTAATAAAGCTGCCATAGGAAAAAAAAAGAGTATTGCACACAACATCATGTACATGAAAAAACGTGCGTATAAAACAAAAATAAAAAATCTAGGAGAGCAAGTAGTGGTAATCACCAGGCAAAATTATATTCATAGCATTGCTAATGTCTGAACCTGTAAAGTCACCCCCATTCAGATTCCTTCTAGCAGTAATTCTGAAGGAAAGGGGAACCATGTAACCCAAATTGAAAGCTTCCAAAGAAAATATTATTGATGTAATTATAAAGATGTTCTTTTTTCATACCATCTCTATACTTCCAGAGTGAAGCAAATATTTTGGTATTGATTATGGATGAGAGGCCAGGGAAGGGGATGCAAAAGGGGAAAAGAGGGAGGGAGGGAA